TTTCACTGTTCATCAGATAGACATGATTTGTGTCAGTTTATTCATTAGGTTCCTACAGTTGCCTACTTTTCAAGGCCCTGGGAGACACACTCAACAAGCTTACTACATTCTCAGCAAATGAATGGTAAGGCCTACTACTTTGGTAAAGCAAACAGAGAGGCAGTGTGTGAAATCAGGGATGCTGGAGCCAGACAGTCTTAATCTAAACCCTAGTTCTACAAGAGATTCTAAACATAGGCAAACTACCTATAATCCCAGAGATTCAGGCCCCTCATCTGAAGTCTGGATACAGCAATAGCGGCTAGCTCACTGAGATAGTTAGTGTCAGGATTAACTGAATTATGTTACTGAAAGTAGTCCTTACACAGTACCTAAACAGAAACTTATGCTTTAAGTCAGCTAAATAAAATCAAATAAATTGCACAAGAGAAAAAGGAAACTCGGGCAGAAAATTAGACAAAAACTACTGTATAACTACAACAATTTTGGGTACTCATGGTCTTTTAAGTAAAAACGAAGACCCTATTGTTTATTTTGTGCTAGATCTGGGGGTACAAAAAAAAAAATCAACAAAACACTACTTCTGTCCTTGAATAGCTAACTTCCCACTAGCATGTTTGTTAGAATGATGGCAGAGGCAGTTGTACACAGAGCGCTAGAGGGGCATTATGTCCAGGGGTGGGGTTGGTTATCTTTAGAAAAAAATCCAAAATTGATGAGTTACACACAGCTTTTAAATTTTATGGTACTATGAATTTCACACAGACAACTATTACTCACATATACGACAGTCAATCTGGCTGGATGGTGGTGGTGCACAGAAAACAGAGGCAGGCAAATCTCTGAATCCAAGGATAGCCTGGTCTACAGAGCAGGTTCCAGGATAGCCAGGGCTACTCTGGCTTCAGAAGATCTGACCAACCTGCACTGTATACACATCTAATTTTTTTTTAGATTTTAGTTATTATTTATACAGTATTCTGTCTGTATGTGTGCCTACATGCCAGAAGAGGGCACCAGATTTTATTACAGATGTTTATGAGCCACCACGTGGATGCTAGGAATTGAACTCAGAACCTTTGAAGAACAGTCAGTGTTTTTAACCTCTAAGCCATCTCTCCAGCCCAAATATATCTAAATTTTAAAATAATAATACAACAACAATCCAAGTAACAACATAAGCAACAAATCAATAGCTATTACAATGCAAATATGTGATTAACCACAAAGAAGAAAATGTCAACCAAGGTTAAAAACAAATACAAAGGATTCAAGACAATTATTTTCAAGTTTCTTCTAAGCATTTATGTACAGGTGTTTAGATACGTAGATATACTACAAAAGCACTTTAAGAATAAAAGTGCTTTTTATTTCTGTATATAAAGACCAACTTGATTTACAAAGATATATGTAAAAAAAAAAATCTTCAAAACTCTTTCATGAGTTAAATAGTATTTTTTAATGACAGAAGGTACTACTTGGAAATCTTACTACAAAATCTTTAAAATAATCATCTGCTATATTTGTTGAAAATATAAATTTAATTTTATATTACATATTTCTTTATATTTGGCTTAATAAAAATGAGGTATAGCTGTAAATGTAATTAATATGCCTCATGATCAGAAGTTCATTCATTATTCACAAATGCTTATTTATGAAATGGTAATATGGAGTATAGTTCAAAACCACAATTTGTTTTGTTTTGTTTTGGGTGGTAGGGCTTAAACCCAGGGTCCTGTGCACGCAAAGCATTTTCCCAACCAGTGAGGTACACACATCACTTCTCCCAACCCACAGCTTACAGTTCTCCAAGCCGGAGTTCCATATTTCTGGATACTCCTGTGCAACAAACATTGACTGGATAAAGTTTACACAAACTTCCTTACTAACTATCTGTTAAAAGGAAAGGCCGCCTTTGCATTCTCCCAGTTCTTCTCAAGCCAACTTTCTTTACCAACTCAGAACAGGTGATAGTTTGAATTCATCACTAAAAATCTTAAAAACCCACAAAACCAGATTTTAATGAACATAGCAGCTGCCCAGGATATTTTACAATTTCCGTGAGCCTGTTTCCATCTATTGACCAACACAAGATTACTACAGTGAATTCACAAGTCAGCTTGACAAGAATGCTACCACACTACAATTTATAAATGAAAAGATAGCTATAAAGGAGCTGATGAGATGGTCAGTGGTTAAGGCTGCTCTACCAGAGGACCTGGGTTCAATTCCCAGCACCCATACAGTAGCTTACAACAATCTGGAACTCCAATTTCAAAAGACTCCAACACCCTGTTCTGGTTTCTTTAGGCACCAAACATGTGATATTGAGATATACAGGCAGGTAAAATGTCCAAACACATAAAATAAAATTTTTAAAGATGACTGGTGACTAGGTTAGAGTCACCAAGGTTCTCACTTACCATGACCCCGGATGTCTTCTTTTTTTTTTTTAAGACTGGACCTCTCTATTTAGCTAGCCTCAAACTCAGAGATCACCTGTCTCTGTCTCCTAAACGCTGGGATTACTGGCATGCACCACCATGCCCCAACAGATATCTTGCTAACTGTAGTAGGAAACAGGTCTTACTATAATTCCCTTAAACACATGATCAAACAGCATCAAGAAGTAAAGGGATGAAGGCCGCATACTTGTTCTTGAACTCTTTAAAACTAGTTTATAATCAACAGCTAGTTTAAGTGGGACAGAGAAAAGAGCTTCTCATTGACTTCACTGGAAGAAGAATTTCTGACAATCAGAATGTGAGTCATTTTCTAAGACAACTGAACCCTTGGTTTCTGTTACTTCACAAGGAGGAGTTGGATAGTGTACAATAGAAGAGATCTGAAAGGGTTAAACATGGTTGGTAAGAACGGCTGTACAAAGCTCTGACAGACCTTTCAGGACAACTGGAGAGACGTAAACACTACGATCTTAGATTACACTGCGGAGGGATTGAAGCTATGGCCTATCAGTTTAAGAGCACCAGCACCAGTGGCCTTGCAGAGGGCTCAGATTTGGATCTCAGCCCCCATATGGTGGCTCACAATTACCTGCAATGTTAGTTCTGGGTGATCTGATGCCCTCCTTTAACTTCCACAGGCACCAGTCATGCACAAGTACACATAGTGTTTTGTTTTGTTTTAATTGTGTTAAAGAAAATGAAAAAAAAAAAAAACAAACAGTACTTTATCCATGCCAAAAAAAAAAAAAAAGTACCCTTGTCTTTAGGCAAAACAAGCAGACACATCAAGGGTGAAGTGTCATAATGTCAACAGCTCAGCTTCAAACAGTTCAACCAAAAACAATATATATTTACAAACAAAGACAGCAAGCTAGCAACAAATGTTGACTGGAGAAGGTCACCATATGGCTGTTTACCATTAACAGATTTTCTTTATGCTTAAACTGATTTCATGATAAAAAGCTGTGGAGAAGGGACCTAGAGAGCTCCAGTTTTCCAAAGCAGGAAAACAAGCAACCTAAAAGCCCAACTGCAAAAAGCATAGCACATTAAACACAGTGCAGCAGCTAACAGAGGTTTGTCCCTTTAGCAGCAATCAACTAGAGTGCAACACTTCACCTAAAACACCACTTAAATGATTCAATTTTAATACGTAATTAAGATAAGCCCTTGACAACTAGTTCTTTCCAAACAGACACACCAAGAGCATGACTAGACGACCTGTCTGAAATAATATCAAATTCAACCTACTTCGACCAATGTCTGTGTATAAGCCATTCACCTGTTAACTCCATAAATGTGACCTCTTCCCTGCACATTATCAAAAAGACAGTCAACTACACGTTTTCTTCAAAGGGTAATAAACCAGTGAAACTTGAGTACTATAATTGAGCATTTGTATTACATGAAACTTTAATTACTCTAAAGGAATTTATCAGCATTTTCTTCTGTAAGAATCTCCAGCTCTGCTTACTAATCAAACAGTACACCATAGTGCTAAAATTAAAATGCCTGTTAACTGATTAGTAGCATTTTGCACAGATTCTTAAATCACAACAAATCACTTTCTGTAATGTTGTACACATTGACTTTTGACATTAAATTCTGAAATACTACATAAAACAATGCAAAGTCACTAAGTATACTGACATTGCCACATAATGAGCAACTGAAATAATCTGTGAATTCCCTATACACATCAACAACATAGTGCAAAAATAAAACATAACCTCAAGAAATATGCAGCTTTAGCAAGTATATTTCTTTTCAATAAGATAGAAAATGGCTTTCTGTACAGTTCTAATACAGTTCTGTACAAAAGGATGCGCAGAGCCATTTCCCACAAGTAATGCCTTTGGAAACTAAAATGACTGGGGATAAGCTGCAACAAAATATATCTCCAACAACCTAAGTCAGAAAGTGTAAATACTATCTAGCTAGGTGTTTCGAACTTACAACCAGGGACAAACGCTCCGGCCAATCCCATTTCCCTAACATATTTCTGCAAGACGGAGGAACGAAGTCCTTACAGAAATATATCTGCACATCTGAACTGAGGGGCTTCCTCGATGGCCACTGGCATGACCTTGGGAAGTTACACCTTCATTTCGCTGATCCTCAATTTTTCATTTTTAATGCTGGTGGCCTGCACACTCGTCCCGCGGGGCTGAGAAGAAGAGACGAGTTGACATACAAGTACAGGGAGCAAAGTGTATGCACGTTGAGAGCCGGCCGACCGCTCCAAGAAGAGGGGAAACAACCTTCCTCCACAGCCTGCCACACAGACAACCCAAAGACAAGCACATTTTTGGCTGAAAGCACGTCGGTCCCAGCTTCCCTTCGATCAGCTGGTTGCAACCCTCTCGTTAGAATAAAATTCCCGCCGAGTACGAGTCTGACAGTTTCCCAGCCCACGTCGCCCCGACCTGGGGGTTCTGAGGTCAGCCCGAGCCCAGCAGGGCTATCCCCGACCTCCCTGCAGCGGAATTCCCGTCCCAGGGCCCAGTCGCACGCTGAACCAAAAGCACTTACCGCCGCTGGGAGGGGATCGCGGAGCCGAGGGCCGAGAGGAGGCCACCGAGCTGGCCCCTCCGCCCCCGCACGGCCTGTCACCGCGCCCCCCAGGAACGGCGCCTCGCGGGGTCCCCGAGGCCCGAAGGGCCGCAGCAGAAACCGGGCCCGGGCCGGCGAGCAGGCCCAATCCGCTTCACATAGGGCAGCGGGCGCGCGGACCGGGGCCTCTCGCCCGCTTCTGGAGAGCTGCAGCCCCGGGGCCCGAGGGGTGTGCTGGGCCGACGAGGAGGAAGCCACGGGCCCGCGTCGCCGGCAGCCGGAGAAGCGGCGGAGCGGAAGCGGCGACTCTGCCACCGATCGTCCGCCGCGGATCGTCTCGGTCGCTGGCCGCCCGACCCGCGAACGCCGCGCCACCCTCGCCGGGCAATGCGGCTGAGGACAACCGGGCCGCCACTACACACAGACCCGTGATGTCTGGCGTAGCTCGGCGGCGCACGTCACGGCGGCTCGCTCGTGCGCGCGCAACCGCCCCCCCCGCCCGCCGGGAGCGGAACCCGGCGCCTCCGCGCGCCCGGCAGAGGCGAGCGAGCAGGCGCCTGCGCGGCGTCCGTTCGGCGCAGCGCGCCGGGCCCCGCCCACTCGAGCCCGGCGCTCCCACCGCGCGACGTTCCCAGGCTTCGGCCCCGGTGCGCGCCCGCGCGCGCGGGACGGAGCCACTGGGCTCTGCGCGTGCGCCCAGGGTCCCGCGTCAGAGACTTGCAGGAAGGGTTTCCCCTGAAGGCGGAGAGCGGCCGAGTGGCGGAGAAGCGGTTGACTGTCTCCCGGTCCTGGCGACCTTCTGCGGCTACAGAGTTCAGAAGTTTTTAAAGGACTTTAGAAATCCCTGTCCTGGCCTAAAACCACCGCCTTGGTCGCAAGCTAAGTTTTAAGCGTACCAGAACGTTATTACTTTTCCAGTTGACGAGAGATGACTTGACATCACATCCCCGGAACAAAAGATCGTGAAATCTCTTTCACCGAAGCCTTCCCTTGCTCCCCTTGGTCCAAGAGATAAGTACAGATTAATCAGTGAGCTGGATGCCTGGAGGCCCTCTGTGAATGTGACCGCACTCTGGGGCTTCACACGACTCAAACCCACAACACACCCTCCCCGCCCCATCTCGCCTCCAATAACCCTTAACAGTTTCCTGTACCATTCTACCTTGGTTATCAGAACAGCCTGATCCCCTTTTCTCTGTGTGGCAGACTACGTTCCCACTCCAGCATTTGACAAGAGATGCTAGCTGACATACAAAGCCCAGGGCTACGAAGAGACCCAAACTGTCACGTAGCTGGCCTGACAACAGGCTCAAGAAAGCAAACCTCAGCGTCTCCTTCCAGGAATTTTCATTATAGGCCCACTGACAGAGATATCGACCGCAAAAGAACAAGGACGTTTACCCCCAACTCTGTAGAGCTTCCATTTGTTTAAAATGTAGGACTTTTCAACTTATATATGCATAAAAGGAAGTCTTTTGTGGACCAGAGAGGTGGCTCATCCGGTAAAGGACACACCAGCCTGACAACCTGAATTCGATCCCAAAATCCATCTAGGATTATTTTACATAAGTGACTTTTCCTCTTAGGTATTAAATCTTGAATGGGATGGTTATTTTACTATATATGATTACAAACTGAGTTCAGGTGTGGTGGCACACTCTTACAGTTCCAGCGTTTGAGAGGCTGAAATGGCAGGATCCTCTGGAGTTGAAGGCCAGCCTATGCTATTTAACAAGTTCAAGCTGGAGCTGAATAATAAGGTCCTTGTACGCACTGTTTTTTTAAAGTCTAGTTTATTTGGGGTTCCTTAAGCCTCAACCTCCCTTCCAACACCCCAGCCCTAGGTAAGAGAGAAAGACAGAAGGGAAAGGAGACATAGACCTCTTTAGACTTGGTTCTGGCTGGCTAGGGTTTTCAGGTTTTGGAGCAATACCAAACTCAGTCATCAGGATAGCTGGCAGTCAAACAATAGCAAATGGCAAACTGAGCAGAATGAGGAAGCAGCCTTCTTCTTCCTCCCTCTGTGAGTCCTCTCCATCAGTCTCCTCCAAGCCCTCACCCCTTCTCTTTCTGGGCTCCTGTATTCTGGGCCCCTCTCTGAATCCTCAGAATTAAGCTCTGTGCAGCTGGCAAAGACCACGAACCAGTCCGAGCCCCATGAGGCAATTATCAGCAGTGGACAAACTAAAAGCAACTCCTTATTCCATACCTGGGATTAAAACAAAAACCTGTTTACATAACATAACTGAGTTTTCAAAGAAACCAAAACTTCCATTACAGATCCTGTCTCAAAAATACAAAAGTTGATGGGACTGGAGAGATGGCTCAGTTGTAAGAGCACTGGACAATGTTGCAAGAGGACCCAGTATCAATTCCTAGTATTCACATGGTGGCTCACAATCATCAGTAACTCCAGTCCTATGGGATACCAACCCATTTGACCTCTGTGAGCACCAAGCGTGCATGTAATGCACAGACATACATGTTGGCAAACACGCATACTCATAAAAATAAATTTAAGAAAAAGAAAAGATGAGATAATTATAACACAGGATGACTTTCATAATGGCAGGGGTACCAGGTGACACAGCAGAAGTAGTAAGGGGATATTTTATACAAGAGGTGTGGTACCTAAGTCTTCTGTTGCTCTATGGCAAATTACCACAGGCTGCAGAGGTAGTGACTTACACCTGTATCCCAGCCACTCAGGAGAGTCCACAACCAGCCAGGATTACATAGAGAGATTACATCTTAAAAGAGAAGGGGAGAAAGAAAAACAAACAAACAAACACCTGATGACTTCATTCAACACCGGTTGTTCACAGTGTTGAGGTGAGAATTTTTCATCAAGAATGTCCCAGTTGCTCTTTGAAGTATCAAAGTTTCTAGGCATGTGCTCCAATGTGGGTTCATTTTGCCTCTGCTAAAACTCATGGAAAATTTAATTGCCAGGTTAACAGTATTGAGAGATGACAGGATCTCTAGAGGTATTTTGGAAGAATTGATGAAATTCCCTCCAGATAGTAGTAGTTATCACGAGAGCAGGTTGTTAAAATGGATCTGGTTGTCAGGTATGTTGGTGAATGCCTTTAATCCCAGAACTCAAGAGACAGGTTTTTGTAAGACCATCCTGGTCTACATCGAAAGTTCCAAGACATCTAGGACTGCATAGTTGAGACCCTGAAAAAAATAAAAGGAAGCAACCCTCTGTACCCTTCATCCCCACTCCTCCCTCTGTAAATGCAGGTGTTACACTTTTGGATTTCCTAGACCCTCAGACCGTGAGCCAACATAAGCCTCTTTATCCTATATTCTGTTTTGACAGAAAATGGGCTAAGACTGAGAACTGGTACCAACCTGGAGAAGCATAGAGGTTTTTGTTTCTTTGTTTTCTATCAAAGATAATTTTGTTCTAACAAATGTAGTTAGTACAGCAAAGACTCCCTATTTTCAGAACCATCTGCTTTGTGCTAATTAGCCGGTTGCCTCAGATTGTGAAACCCAATCCCCACCAGCAGGATGAGATGCCACCTACTGACCTCGCCACTTACTTCTGGGATAAAAGACAGAAACTGCTACAAACATGGTTGAGCAAATGTCCTTATTGTGTACTTGAGCCTCTTTTGGATATATGCCTAGGAGTGGTATGGTTGGATCTTGCGGAAACGCTATTCCTAGTTGTCTGAGAAAGTGCCAGATTGATTTCCAGAGTGGTTGTACAAGTTTACATTCCCACCAGTGGAAGAGGGTTCCCCTTTCTCCACTACCTCTCCAGCATGTGTTGTCAAGATTTGCTCAACCATGTTTGTAGCAGCTTTATTTATAATAGCCAGAAGCTGGAAACAACCCAGATGCCCCTCAACTGAAGAATGGATGCAGAAATTGTGGTACATCTACACAATGGAATATTACTCAGCAATGAAAAATAAGGAAATCATGAAATTTGCAGGTAAACGGAGGGAACTGGAAAGGATCATCCTGAGTGAGCTGTCCCAGAAGCAGAAAGACACACACGGTATATACTCACTTATATAGACATATAATATAGGATAAAGCTACTAAAATCTGTACATCTAAAGAAACTAATCAAGAGAGAGGACTCTGACTAAAATGCTCAATCTCCATCCTGAAAGGCAAAGAGGATGGACATCAGAAGAAGAAGAAAACAGGAAACAAGTTAGGAACCTGCTACAAAGGGCCTCTGAAAGGCTCTGCCCTGCAGACTATCAAAGCAGATGCTGAGACTTATGGCCAACTGTCGGGCAGAGTGCATGGAATCTTATGAAAGAAGTGGAAAATAGTAAGATCTGGAGAGGACAGGAACTCCACAAGGAGAGCAACAGAACCAGAAAATTTGAACACAGGGGTCTTTCCAGAGACTCATACTCCAACCAAATACCAGGCATGGAGATAACCTAGAACCCCTGCACAGATGTAGCCCATGGCAGTTCAGTGTCCAAGTGGGTTCCATAGTAATGGGAACAGGGACTGCCTCTGACATAAACTGATTGGCCTGTTCTTTGATCACCTTCTCCTGAGCGGGGAGCAGCCTTACCAGGCCACAGAAGATGACAATGCAGCCACTCTTGATGAGATCTGATAGACTAAGATCAGAAGGAAGGAGAGGGGGACCTCCCCTATCAGTGGACTTGGGGAGGAGCATGCTTGAAGAAGGGGGAGGGAAGGTGGGATTAGGAGGGAGGAGGGTGGGGCTTATGGGGGATACAAAGTGAATAAAGTGTAAAAGAAAATTTATAAATAAATAAATAAATAAATAAATAAATAAATAAATAAATAAATA